CTAGTGTGGAGAACAGATTACGGACTGCAAGGATGAATGTAGGTGAATAGGTGGGAGGAGGCACTTGCCTTCTTCCAGGTGGACACAATGTCCTTTTTACTAGAATGTAGGTTCCAGGGGCTGGAGAGTCTTGCTTTGCACATTGACATATCCCAAGTGCCCACACAGTGCCGGACAGGGAGTATTGCACAATTACCTTTTTCTGAGATAGAGAACCCTGGGAGGATACCAGCTATGGCACTCAGGGTTGTTTACTTGGTTTCAGACTTGTTAAGGCGGAGGTAATTTTGCAACATTTAGTGAGAAGATGCCAGGTGGCCAGTTGTATATAATGATCTGGAGCTCAGAGCAAAGATCTCTGCTTACTATTTAAAGATGCGAGTCGCCTGTGGAGGGCTGGCAATTGAAGCTATGTGTGTGACATACATAAAAACTTAGTATAAGATACTGGAGAGAGAGTGAATGTGAGAAACCAGCCCACGAAAAGAGACAGAATGACCGGAGAGGTAAGAGGAAGAGAAATCAGGAGAAAGAGCTTTAAGAAGGAGGAAGTGGCTATCTAAGATTTTGACGTCTCAAAGGGTACCAAGATGTCATTTAAGATGTCAGTTAGGAAGACTGAAAGTGTCGTCTGGGTACAGCAGCATGGAGGTCACTGGGGACCACAGACCAGGCTCTCTCGGTGCAGTAGCAGAGGTAGGTGCCAAATTGCAGTGGCTACCAGGACTAGGCAGTGATGGAGGACATTTAGCCAACGAGTGCCAACAAGTCCTATGGCAATTTGATGGGAAAGAAGGAGGAAAAGGTGACAAGGGCTGAAGTGGGATATAAGCTTGAGGATGGATTATTTAAACAGAGTTGTAAACTTGGTAAAAAGCTGATGATCGTCATGTAGGACGGGGAGAGAGAGACAGGGAGAGACAGATCAAGTATGCGATTAAAAGGGGGATGTGTGATTCCCAGGAAGGGAGAAGTAGATGGGGTTTGGAACAGAAGTGGAAGGATTCCTCTTGAATAGAGGGAGGAACAGCTTCTTTACCATCACGGAGAGAAGGGTGTGTAGGTTTAGATTTAGGAAGCTGAGGCCATCTCTACCGGATGGTTTTTCTTCTCTCTGTGAGGTGAGTATTGGCAGACGGGCGGCAGAGTATGGGAGGAGGCAGTCTGAGGAGAAAAGAAATAGCTTTAAATCAGGCACCAAGTAGTCCTGTTGGGCGGCTTTTTACAACCATATTCACCCATCCAGGTACAGACACTAAGATTGTTGGATTCATCTCGTGTTGGCTTTTATAATACAAATGGATGAGAAAAAATTCCAGAGTGGTAAAGAGGTTAGTAGGAGTATTATTGAAATAATGGTCCAAATACTCTAAAGAAGATATACAGGGAAATTAAAAAAAAAAAGGAAGAGTTGCTAGACTGGGAGAAGACTCAGGGATTAAGGGCAAGTGAGAGAATGGCTGTGGGGAGAGTGTTAGTAATTGAATCAGCTGCTGGGAGAGGAGCTTGTAGAGTTCAGAATGTAAAAGAGAGGGAGGAGAAGACCTCCCAGTGGAAACTGCTGCAAGAAATATCCTACTTCAGCAGATGGGATCGGTACTTGCCATATAAAGCAACATGACAGTTTTTAAAATAAATGTTGTTATTAAGATACAAGAAGTGCGTTTTGCCAACTCTGTGCCATGTGCAAGTTCAACCAGATGCATCGTCCTTCCTCGCTGTGACCATGGAATGCTGTGTTTGTGTTCAGCTTACAGCTTCAAAGATGAGGAGCATAGATTCTGGAAGAGGGATGCTATCTGGAGAGACCACTGCTCAGAGTCCACTGAAGCCAAGTGCAGGGCTTGTCCTCCTAGTCTGTCACGTGACATTATTCACTCCAGAGTAAAGTCTGAGAGTTGCATGACATTGGAAACGTCCAAGGGCCTCTGCATAAAGCTGTATTTGCAGCAATAGCCCTAAGTGGCCCAAAGAGCAAGAGGAAAGTTATGAGATCAAGAAGAAAATGCTGTGCTATTGAATTTCTTCTAGGTATTTATTCCTGTTCTCTCTTTGATAAGAGAAATCAATTTCCTTGTTAGTACAGAAAATATTTAGACTAATCATGAATATGGTTTCTGGAGGTCAAATGCTTACTGATATTTACTTATGTAAGATATTCAAATGAGCCTCTGGCACTTTCTCCACTGTTTGCTTATGAAATAAGCAAGATAACTGGGATGTATTTTGCTACAGGATCCCAGATAGCATACAGCTGTTGTGAATTCTCTACACCAGAGGTATTTCTCATATTGGTCCTGTGACCACCTTAACAAATGAACCATTAGTGCAGAAGTCAAACGGAGTTCATAATTCCTTTATTCTTTGGATATATTTCACAACTTTTTTGAACCTACAGCAGACCTTTTCAGGGGTACTTGAATTATAGCTAGCTCAAGTCTTACCTACTCTTCCAGCAAGAAATCATTTTCTCATCTTTTGAATTCCTATGGTACTTTAGCTCATGCTGCTTATAATTTGCTCCCTTGAAATATAATTATATTAATCATTTACATATATAATCTCTCCTAGAAGACTTTCAAGGGACAACTGGTTTGAGATCATTGCTGTATCCATCACTATGCTTATCATAAATTAGTAGGCATTCAACAATTAATTGTTGAGTAAGTGAAATAAGTCAATTTTGCTATCATCTTTGTTGACCTGCAGCTTCATACTCTCTCTTTTTTTTTTTTTATAGATAAATGTTATATATAAGCCTAAAAGGCCACCATCTACCAAGGTGCTATTACAGATTTCAAGTCCAGTGGTATGTCTTCCTGAAGACCCATTGTAAATTAACTCTAAATGATCTCACAATAGCTGGTGGCTTAAACCAGAGAATGGGTCAGTAAAGACATTAACCTGGAAAATTAAGGGGTGTTTCTCATGATAAGTCTTTCAAATAGTGTCTCTCATGGAGAATTCTTTTTTTCTTGTTTTGTTTTTCTTTTTTTTTTTTTTATTAAATGATAGTTGTGTACATTAATGCAAACATGGGGTACAGTATAGTTTTTCATATACAATTTGAAATATTTTCATCAAACTGGTTAACATAGACTTTGTGTCATTTACTTAGTTATTGTGTTAAAACATTTATACTCTAGTTCTAGAAAAATTCACTTGTACCCTTGTTAGACAGACCATCTAGGAGAATTCTTAAAACTACACAAGGTGTCATCATATTATGTAGTGAGCCCCATCTGCAATATGTGTTAGGGAACAAGAACAGATTCTGATATAGGAAGAAAAAGCAGAAATGGGGAATCACATATTCCTTGCAATTCAGAAGAACTCATCAAAGTTAAATCTTTATCCACAGAAAATAATCAAGAAGTGGTTAGAAGTCCTAATAATCTAATGGTATCATAGGATCATTCTGCTGGAACAAATTCTTGGTTATGCTAAGGCTCTATCTTGAAAGCCATTCATTAAAAAAAAAAAAGTATTTATTGTAGAGGAAGAACCAGAAAAACCTGGTAACATTGGCCTGGGGAGATGATGGAGAACGGAAGATTGTCTGGGTTATTGGAATAGTGACCTCGTGTGAACACAAATGTGGAAGTTAGGAGAAGAAGTGGTCTGAAAGTAGAGAGAAGGACACCAGTTTTAATTTGGGCTTGTCAAAAAGAGATGCTACCAGCCACCAGGCATCGGAAGTATCAGGTATAACCTGAAAGGAAGTTCAAGACACAAGAGAGATTGAGGGTCATGGTAACACCGAGGTTATAGTTCAAGTTCTGAAACCGTCAGAGGAGAAAATGCAATCAGCAATCCAGGAGAGAACCGTGAGAAACACCTTCATTAAGGGCTGGGAGAGGTGCTTGTGGTGACTCCAAGCATTATTATTACCACCGCAGTCCTTTAAAAAAGTCACTGTCCTAAGCTAGACATTTGCATTATAATAAATGAATTTCCAGACATCATTTCTGGCAAAAGATTGAACTAAGCAAAATTTGAAGCCTTTGAAGACAAGAACTCTATCCCAACCTCACTGCTGTTCCTCCTCATCTTTTCCCAGTGGATGGGCTGCAGGGGCGGCATGAACATCCGAGATGTCCTCAGAGTTGTTGGCATTTAACTGGAAAACGTGGCAGGATCCTTGTCATTGTTCAACGTGTCACTAACTATAGAGTCAGTAATGTTGAGCCTTGTTGAATTACTAACAGCTGAAAACTTATTTTATCCAAGTTCATACAGATTTGGGTGAGACTGCCACAAATAAGAATGAAGTCTGGATAATGTTCTGTCTACACCTACTTACCAATTTTTAATGTTCTCTCAGGCAGTCTTTACAGATAGCTTTGGGCCAGGGTGATTTAATAGCATGGTAATCCATAGCCTTTTGACTTAACGCCAAAGTGTTAAAAAAAATGTTAAAAAAAAATCAAGATTGGGTGGTGCCTCTAGCTTAGCGGCTAGAGTGCTGGCCACATGTATCAGGGCTGGTGGGTTTGAACCTGCCCAGGCCTGCCAAACAATGACCACTGCAACAACAACAACAATAACAATAACAAAAAATAGCCAGGTGTTGTGATGGGTGCCTATCTTCCCATCTACTTGGGAGCCTGAGGCAAGAGAATCACTTAAGCCCAAGAGTTTGAGGTTGCTGTGAGCTGTGATGCACAGCACTCTACCAAGAGTGACACAGTGAGACTGTCTCCTCCAAAAAAAAAAAAAAAATGAAGATGGAATAATATTATTCAAAGTTCATGTTCTCCTAAGAACCTGAAAAAATGTTTCAGAAATAGATGATTTCCTCTTCTCTACTATAGATGTCCAGTTATTTTCTTTACTCATTAGTGTGATTGGTGACTAACCTCATTTTGTGCCTTAAAGTACACACGATAAAATCTTTTAGAAATGCTTCAGCTTTAAATGGATAGCTGTAATTCAAAATGTCAAGTTATGTACTGAGTCTCTTTGTAATATTAAAACCATGCTTCATTTTCCTCTCCTAGGTGTTGGGAGCTGATGACACTAACGTGGGTGATGGCTGCTCTCAGAAGCTGGTGATGACCAACCTTCTCCGCTTCCTCCTGCTGGTTCTGATCCCGTGTATCTGTGCTCTCGTCGTCCTGCTGGTGATCCTGCTCTCCTTTGTGGGTGAGTTGATGCCTTTCTTAAAGAGAAATGGGGTCAAAATCAAAATTATGATCTACAAGAATTTCTGCTTAGTACTTACTTAACCTACGGTATCCAATCAATGAGGATTATCTATTGATTGTCTTAGGCAAATCTGTAGTGTCAGCTACTCAGCTACTGTAGCCTACATGTTATTATTAATATTAATTAATGGATTAATTAATTTAAAATATTTAAGGAATAATTACTATGTTGCAAGCACTTTGAAAGTCCCTGGAAACTCAAAGATGGTTAAATTAGTTTTTTTCTTAGGAGCTCACAGCTGAGAGGAAGCAATGATTGTCACATAAGCCAACACGTGTTTAAGATAGAGCTGTGTGTATGCAGGGTCCGCTGAGGGCAAAGAAGGCATGGGGGGGAATTAACATCTTAACTTTGGAACTAAGTTAATGGCAGCTCAGGCTGGAAGGCAGTCGTTTAGGAGTATGTTTGGCAGAAAAATAGCACGTGCAAAAGTGTAATCCCATGAAGGGTGGAGACGAACTAAGGAAACTGGGTGAAAATGTGATGGTGGTGGGAGAAGGAGCTATATTGACAAAGACCAAATGACACAGGACCTTACATTTCATACTGAAGGATTTGGGCTTCAGCATCTAAATCACTGGTTTTCAAACTCTATTCCGTGAAAACAAGGTTCTGAGGAGGAGACTCAAGGATTGCACAAATGTTTGACTTTCATTTGTAAAAAGTAGATCTTAAACACACACTCAGACTGAACATTACGTACCAAATTTTAACCCAGTGGAGACCAGAAGCTAAGCAATGCTGCCAGTTCAGTTCATTTAACCCAGTGGAGACCAGAAGCTAAGCAATGCTGCAGTTCAATTCATTTAACCCAGTGGAGACCAGAAGCTAAGCAATGCTGCCAGTTTAATTCATTAGTATTTGCATCTTGCTATCTTTTTAAAATGACCCATAACCTGAGTTTGAAAGGTGAACTATTGTGCAAAACAATGTACACTTACCATGGGAGTGATTTAATGATATGAATCAGAATTTTTTGAATGTGTACAATCACCTAAAATAGAGAAATAAATATCAAGATGATGCTGATCTAATTGCATTACCAATGATTTTTGAATTTTTTTTATTTCACTGAAACTACCTATTATTTTTTCATTGATTAGTTTTCAAAAGTTTTACATATAAAGTTTGTAAAATAAATTAATCCTAACAAAATGCAGCTTGTATGTACTGTGTTTCCCTGAAAATAAGACCTACCCAAAAAATAAGCTCTAGCAGGATTTCTATGCATTTGTTAAATATAAGCCCTACCCTGATAATAAGACCTAGCGATGGGCATGCATTTCCACACGGAGAGGAAGACATCTCCTGAAAATAAGTCCTAGTGTGTCTTCTTGAGAAAAAATAAATATAAGACTGTGTCTTATTTTCGGGGAAACACGGTATTTGTAGATCATAGGGTGTTATATGATACTTATTTGAAAGTAGCATTTATCTGCTACAAATGCTTGAAAACCACTGCTATGGGTGGTGGATTACATTGGAGGATCATTCCAAGAAAGTAAAAATATGATTAAATGTGTATTTGCCAAAGACAGATACACCACAGAAGATTGGAGGCAGAAAAAAAATGAAAGCAGGAAGATAATTTTCAGGCTCTGGCTGTAGTCTAAGTAAGAGGTGATGGGGGTTGATAAGACATCAGATCCATCAGAATCAACAGAAATCAAGACTGATCGGAGTTGGTGAGAGGGAGGCATCAAGGCTGACTCCTTGATTTCTGGCTTGGGTGACGAGTGGATTTTGATGCCATCTTGTTAACACAGGAAGCAAAGGTGGAGAAGTCCCATGTAGGTAGAGATGGGGGCAGGGTGGCTGGTTGGTTTGCAAGTTAAAGATACTTGTGGTACAACCGGAACAGCCAGGACTACCAGGAGGAATCAAAGTTTCAGTGCGTTTATCTTGAATATATTCGACAGTGCAGGCTGGGCCAAGAAACAGAGGACTGTAACACGCTGCTTTCCTAAGGAAATTTCTGGAGAAATTGTGACTAAATATGATTTGTGCTTTCTGTGCTGACTTTACAATTTCACTGGTGCCCCCCTGTTATGGTCTGAAGCGAGGCGCATCCAGAAGGCAATGGGGGTTCTGGTTACGGGTGTGTATGTGGGAGTCTGGGGATGGCTGAGCAGTTGAAAAATTGTGAAGAGGAAATATATTGGCTAAAGGCTGGGAGCTGAGTTCTGGTGATGCTGGTGCTTGGGGGCAGCCAAAAAAAAAGACAGTAAGAAAAGAAAAAGAAGAAAGGAGGAAGGATGAGCAGAGAAGAATCCAAGGGACTGTAGTTGGGGGCTTCCCCGAGCCAGGACACCTGCAGGTTTTCTGCTGTGCTTTAGTCGCCTCTTGCTCCGTGGTGTCCAGCTGTGGTCGGCTCTCAGGCTCTTGGTGGTAAACAACCCCCGAACTTACCTCCATCTCTCTCTTCTTGCAAGACTCAACTTCCCTGTAGACGTGGCCTCTCCACGTGCCTTTAGCTTATTGCCCTTCTGTGCTTTGTCCAGAGTTATCTCTGGGAACATCTGTCTGGTAGGAGCTTCTCAGACATACCACTGTTGTTTTTAAAAGCCTGGTCATCACGAGGCTGGTCCAGTGACTCGAACACAGGAGAATATTTCCTCTCCCTCTCAGGGTCTCATGATGATGGAAAGGGCGTCCTGTGCCCTTTGGCTGCCTACCCCTCCCTGTCTCCTCACTCCCACTCCTAAGCAGCCACTAATTTATAGTATTTTCTGTGCCTATAGATTTCCTATTTTGAGCTTTTCACGGGAACATATGTAGCATTTTGTGACTGACTTCTTTCACTCAGTACAATGTGTTTACGATTCATCCCTGGTGGACTGGGCGTTCATGCTTCGTTTCTTTTGATGGCTGAACAGTATTGCCCTGTATGGATATACCACAGTTTGTTTATTCATGCATCAGTTAATGGCATTGGATTACTCCCATCTTTTGCCCATTATGAATATTCTTCCCGCTATGAATATTAATGTATGAGTTTTTGTGAGGAAATACATTTTCATTTCTCATGGCTGTATACCAAGAATAGAATTTTGTATCAATTCTGTAAGGGTTAGAGAGGTGACTAATTTGTAACCACTCCTAAATGCTGTTTTTTTTTTTTTTATATGTAGGCAGACTTTAGAAAGCAGGGTTTTCCCTACACATCTTTGAAAACATTCTTTTTATAAATTCTGCACCAGATGAGATAGCCATCTGGAAGTAATATCTGTTCAAATAAATAATCCTTATTTTATAAATGAGATGTTTATTGTAATGAGTAATACAACCATTTTATACCTTTGTTAAAAAACCCTCATTAAATGATGCTTACTTTTTAAAACTCTGTGTTTGGTTTGAGCTTATAACCCCATGCTTGTTCAAAGTTTTGTAATTATTTCTATGTACATTAGGGTTGCCAAGGGATGCTGAGATACCGATTGTCAATAAATAACAGGGGCTCCAGCTTCAAAAGGCAGAGATAATAATGAAGGGATTATTGATTAGAAAAAAGTAATGAAAGTTTTATGCTAACAAGCACAGATGTGCTACATCTCTAACTTTGTATTTTGGCTTCTCTCATGCATAAAATCAAGATGCTAAAAAGATTTCCAAAGGTAAGAGAGTTGGAATTTTCAAGTCATTATTCTAGAAGGCCAGAGAAGGTAACAGTAGCAAATCATTTCTCATTGCTAAACTGAAGCTGGAACTACAAAGGTTTAGTTTAGCTTAGTTTTGGATTTCTTAACTTGGCAGAAAATCTGTAGTCCATATAGTTCTGAAAATTTGAACTCTAAAATAAGGACCCAGGTTTTTTTTTTGTTTGTTTTTTTTTTTTTACAGTTTTTGGCTGGGGCTGGGTTTGAACCTGCCACCTCCAGCATTTGGGGCCAGCGCCCTACTACTTTGAGCCATAGGTGCTGCCCAGGACCCAGGTTTTGAAAGAAGTTGAAAGAGAAACAAAAAAATAAGAAAGTTACATTACATATCCATTTTTATATCTGTAGTTGTGGTTTAATGTTGATGGGCCTTTTGACATTGAAGGAAGAACTTGTCCCTTGGCACTGGAAGGTCTGGGTTTAGGGGTTTACTCTACCATTTACTGGGCATGTGAGTTTAGGTAAGATACTTCCCCTTCCCTGTGAGATAATTCTTTTTCAGATCACAGACTTGTTATGGAAGCCAAATAAAGTAATGTTCATGAAAGTGTTTTTGTAAATGATGAAGTTCATGATGAAAGTCAAGAATTGGTTTTTATTTGTTGATGAATAATTATCAGATAATTAATTTAATAAATAGTTTCAGCATGTCAAACAACATTTGACTAAAATATTTGCCTCATTTAACTCCATTCATATGTCCCTTTGCCATAGTAACCCCATGCTCTATAACCCCAGGACCCCCAAACTAAACCATTGTTGCAGTGTATTCTAATTGCCCATAAAGTAGTTAGGAAGAAATAAAATTGACAACTGTTAGATTTGCAACTTGATGGCAAGTTTCACCCGCCTTTTATGCTGACATCAGACACTTATCCTCTTTTTTTTTTT